ACAATGCTATGGCTCACACCATCAAATTTGCGGATACTTCAACGTAACCACTGCGCCAAATCAATGCATTTAGAGAAAGTAAACGCTAATTTAGGCGCAACGTTGACACAGGAACGAAATCCTAAAGACTGGCACTTCTCTAATGTTGCACGAAACTGAGAACAACTTAGAAAGGGGCTGGAGCAGCGTTAAAATAGCGGCGAAGTGACTGACGCGATTGAGCTGCATAAAACAGTTCCCTAAAGCATGACTCTAAATTAGTTTTGGTTTTCGAAATGAAACGTGAAATTGTAATATCTGACTACTTTCGCCTCATGGAGAGTGCAATAGGTCAAAATTCGACCAAACTGTATGCTTGAAAAACCACTCCTGAGACTGCTGAACCTTCTATGTAAGATTTAAATACCTCACTTCCCGCCTTACGATCCCGAAATCACTTTAGCTTCTCCCAACTACTCGTATCGCAGTTTCTGCATAGTGGTCAGCAGTGGAGTACGATTATAATCAGCTAAATCAGAAAAAAAAATGAAAAAAACTGCTCATACATATTGCAGGAAGTTGAAGATGACTCAGAAGAGCGAGCCTGTGGCAGTGAAATGGCAATAATACCCTACATAGCTACAATAAACTTGTCCACAGGTGCAGAAATCATATGTGTAGCCGTAGGAATGAATCGAGTGCTAAATAGGTATAGAATGCGATCGATCTGAGAGAATAATAGTCTACTGAATGTGAAATAAGTAGATACATACAAGTGAATAGGATAATGAACACGCGCATGATCTTGCGACAGATGGATTGTCGACGTGGTGAGGCTTCACGATGCCACCGCCACTTAAGCATCAATCGTCCGAAGATAGTGGCAGGGACATAGAACTGTAGCACGTAGGAGAGGAAGATGGCACATATGAAAAGAGGTTTCACCGCGGCATAGATACTACAGAATGTAGACAGACAGATAGTTAGCCAATGAAGGTAGTTAGATAGAAGAACGAAACGGCCTACACACGGAGGTGAACTTGGAATATTGTAGGTAATGCTCCCAAGGATAGCGTCGCCGAAACGAAGGTAGCCAAAGAAACCAATGGTGAGACAGAGGCAAGCGGCGATCACCATGGTGGTGTTGAGCACCCCGAACGGCATCACGAAACGCTCCGGGTCTCGCATCCGGCTCTGGATGGGCAGAGTCTACAAGGTAAATTTCCGATTTAAGTTTACTCATAAACTGTTTTCTTCTTTACAATGGAACGGAAATAGGAGGATTCGACAGAGAGAGAAAGTGGCTTCCAAAATGGGACAGAGCACGGATAATGAAAAGTCAGACGTTCCCGGCACTCCGGCTGTCCCAGTTATTCCTCACTCCAACGCCACATAGGCATGAGACATCAGATGAGAACAAGGCTCTTACAAAACAACCAAAACAATCTTCGATCAAGACTTTATTCTCTATTTTCGAACTTGCCACACACGATATGTGTGGGGTCATCATCTTATACGCAAACACTATAAAAGCAACCGAATTCATTGTCTTTAAGATCAAAATAAGACCACCTATCTCTAAACGTATCAGTGAGGAAATCCTGATTATCTGATACTGCCAGAAAGACTGAAATTGTTCAATAAATACGGTGGCGAAATAGTGACTCTTCAGGTTTCGCATTAGGCTTTAGGATCGATGTATCATCCCATAAACAAACAATGGAGACGGTTGTCAAGCTCTCCCACATGACTCGCTCGACCCGGAAGTAGATGACCCAATAATCAGGGTAGTCCCAACGATTGGCCCACCAGCTCTCCTGCACAAAAGAACCGCTAAGTGTGAGGCATCGACAAGAACGTTATCAGAGGGCATGCCCTCAAAACTCAAGGAACTTGACCGTAAACACACGCAGTCACCCAAGAAGCCACATCAAGATTGATGGTGGGTTCAATAAACAGGTTCTGGGCTGAATCGCATGGCAAAAGGAGTACCGAAACAAACCGGTGAAAAGTGGCTTTAAATCATCCTACCGAGGCAGCAGCCAAGAGGCCAGATGTGGTTTATTAAAAACCATTAAAGGCAATTGGAACGCACCTTTTCAAAAACATTTTGACTTCGTCAAGGCAGTACCTTACGATTTTTTATCCGATCTGCGAACAAGAGCTCTCTCGGAGACTCAATGGAAAACTTTTGCGCACTGTCATGGTCAAAAAGGATTGGAAATGGTTGTTTGCAAACACGCCCATAAACAGAGGTACCACTGCTGTTATATATCACGTACGAATTCGACACTCTTCCGTTTGCCGTTGTTTTTGTGCATCAACACCTTTACTTTAAACCAAAGTGAGTCTGAGATTGAAACTTTAAATATCACCAAATCCTTTGTTAGCAAAAGCAGAAGAGACTACGACAGAGGAGTGATATTGCCAGGGACGTTGTGAATACTATCCCATAGCTCCTCGCTTTTTCTCGCAAGGCAGCATAAATGTAAACATTTGAGACGGTTTGAAGGTCCTAGATAGAGAGAACTGCTCATTAGAACTCCTAGGTACTTCAGAGGGCCTCCAAACATCAGCGTACAGACTACATGACAAAGGGAATATAGACTTTCATATTCCTTCATCTTCATTTCATTGCTTACCTCATTTGAATTCGTTGGTATCAGCTATCAAAGAATACAGCTGTCTATCGTTGGTAAGAATAAATACCTTCGGAAAAACATCTGTGATCGTCGTGGAAGCTATATCGAAATTAATGGCAAGATTCTATAAAAAAGTGTGGACATTTGGGTAGTCTCGGCCTTTTCAAATTAATATTTTTGAATCAAGCTGCTAAATCATTCTGCAACTGTGACCACAACAATGAAGTGTCCCTGGCGCAAAGTTTCAGAAACGAATCCGTAAAACTGCAACTAGTTGAGAAAATGTTTTCGTTAAAAAAAAATTCATATGAGGTTAGAAAGCATTTATTGGAGAGTATTTTGACGCTTTCGTAATAATATTCCATGAATCCTCCTCTGATCCGTGGAACACGAACTTGCCCTAAAATCCAACCCGGTTTGTTTCCGCACTGGTGTGATCAAGAAGACACAAGGATCAACCGTTCCGAATTCCTTCGAGTTCAGACGGTAATCCATGCATATTTCCTCGCTGTTCATCGATGTTTCATATTAAAAAGTACCCTTCACCTCCAATATTGTTGACTACTCTCTTCACTATTGTTGGATCGCAGAAATTACAAATTTAAATCCCATGAGACATGGACAACTCCAAATCCGCTGATTCCAAATTTAATTGACTCCGCCTCTGCAGTCGCTGCATAAAGTTAATGCCAGTGAAAGAGGTTTCCTCTCCATCCCAAAAACTTCCCAATGGTAATTAAAACTCGTTTTAAATAATCGCTCGGTGTATCGAAATGAAGAGTTATTTAGAGTAAATCGAAGACCTAAGCCAATGAAATAGAAGTGAGACTTATAACAAACAGTGCCTATCTAGTCTTGGGTTTAAATGCTACGATAGACACTTCAGTTGGATTGCATGCATTCATAATGTCAATACGTAACTGATATGCACAATATACTGACAACTTTCGTCGCTGCAAATGTGCCATGAAGAACATCAAGTTGCGAACAAAAACCAGTTTTACGCGCAGCTATTTTCTTTTGGACGACATTCAAAAGCTTATTTATGATTGGGCGGAGGAAACCCATTAACCTTTCCCTTTGTGATAGAACCACTGCCACAAAACAGAATTCACGTGTTTTAAAGGATGGCAAACAAATATACAATTTTTTCGTCATTACATTCAATGAGGAAATCCAGTTTTGCTAAACGATTCTTGTGTTTTTAACCACAAAATAAGGAAAAAACCCTTGAAAATGCTTTCACAACATGACTTTTGCGGCCTTGAAGGCACACTATACCCGACCTTTGATATTTGGCCATTATTTCAAACGGTTTTGAAAAGCTATTTGACGTACTATCCGTGGGCAAATAACGCCTTGCACACAAGATCGGAATGAAAAAACCTCTAACACTAAAATTGTCCACATTACTAGTCCACAATGTTTGCAGCAAATCTCGAGTAAAATCACCAAATAGTTCTCCTCCTTCCATGGAAGCAGTTGACTAAGCTACGTTCAGTTGAAGAATTCGATATGGCTTTCATCTCAAACTTCAGTTAAAAAACCTTTGCTTTATAGCAAAAGAGTTTTGAACAACCGATAACATTCATGTTAAATGTTCCCGAGCCACACTTTGAATTCTATTTCACATCATATTTTAAAGTGGATTCCGGCACCCGATGATGGGATTCGAATAAAGGCATAAATTCGACCAGTAAAGTAAACTTAAACTTCTATACTGCTTTTCGACCTTGATGCTAAGATCAGTAATTCATATGACTAGCTATTCACGCTAATATGAAGCCGCAAATCAGCTTCATTTGGCATTAAATGCCTCCATCTAGATATAACGTTTGCTACCTCGACCACTTACACTTGAACGAATTGTAAGGTGTGACAACATGGCTTAGAGTGGAATAAATTAACTTATCTTTTATGCAACACCAAAAAGTAAACAAAGTAAAGCTGACTACCTACGGTTGAATTCAGGTCTTGGCAACTTTCGGGAGAGTACAATGCAGGTGCACCTAATGTGTTTCAGCTGACGGAAGAAATGTGACAATTCCATCAGCCCAGTTTTCTCGTATGACAGGCTTAAGGTTTGAAGAAAAAGGCATTTTGATAAAGTACCACAATGACCGAACTACAATTACCATAAAGTATGTCATTTACACAGACACAGAAAAGCCACTTAGATTAACCCTGAATTCAAATTTAAGCGTACCATTAGAGCAAAAATAGAACCTAGGATGATAACCCTTTCAGCAAGTAGTACTAAAAAATGAATTATATCGTCCAAATGAGATTGCAAAATCATAGCAGTCCCTGTGGAATGAAACTGACGAAAACTTTAAATAAACAAACTCTTGGAGTATGATTACAATGAAATAAATACCTTCTTTTCGAACAAACTTGACTGGAATGAACGATTAATTCAGGCATCACGTTTGCCATCTTTTTTGGAAAAAAATGTTATCTTATTTCAAAGTGCAGAAAAGTTAAAATAGCCGGTTTGGATAACATTAAGTCTCTTTGAGGCCTTGTTTAAAGGAAGTTAGCGCCCTAAAGATCGTAAAATGCTAGCCTTACCCTCGGTGTGAAGTATGGTGTCGTTTGACAAGGATGGAATTTGAGAAAAAAAGCCGCGATAAAACACAGCTTCCAAGCTTTAATAGGTTTTGAGGATGCTGTTCATCTCAAACTAGCGTAATGTTTGAGCAAGCCTCGGATTAAAATTGCAAAGAAAGGAAATAGAATACCAAGGATGGATAGAGTTGAAACAAATTTGCGAATAAAATTGTGTAAAGGGTGTAGCCTACTAGTAAGTAACGGCACCCAAAACTAGCTTTGCTTCATTTCCAAACGGGCCAAATTGGAAAGATGGCCCAATTACCATATTCTTATGGTTCGAACTACGTAGAAATGACACATTAGTAGCTTAAGGACATCGATTAGTACAACTCGAATTGTACCTAAATTTACAGTTTTGAAAACCATGTAAACCTTCAGTTTGGGGGTTGGCAAATAGCCCAGGTAGATGAGAGATATCAGTGAAAACCTTAAGACATAAAAACCTATTAAAATGTGCATAAACACTGAGATCAGTGGAGAAACTGAATCTATTCAAATAAACTTCTTACCAAAGCAATCCCCTCAAAAGAGAAAATGAAGATGCCCAGTGCAACGAGTATCTCGTCGAAGGAGGTGAAGGCAGGAAGGGAAGCGATGTCTTTAAGACCAGTGGAAAATATGTAGGCAAAGATGAGGATCAGACCCAGCATTGTGGCAACCAGTGCAATGGCAGAGGGGATAGCAAACACCCAGATTGCCATCTTGATATTTAGTATAACTAGCAACATTGTGACGATAAATCCGATTAAATAAAGATTTGCGTGGACTTCCGGCCATGTTGTTTCTATAAACTGTTATCATGGACAGATATTACCAACACAATAACTTACGTATTTGGTATTCTGTGCTACGAAGAGCATGTAGATACAACAAAATCCAATCTGGGTAAGTACCAAAAAGACGTTAACTGTGTGCCTAGAGCTATTACCCACCATATGAAAACATACTTGGCTTTGCCTTTATAAATTCTAAAACGTTCAGGACCAAATTTGACAATATAGAACACAGCTTCTGTGTAGTCAATTTTACTTCGGTCAAGATTGTTCCTAAATATTTATTTAGGAGTTGTGGGAACTCAGTTACTTAATGATCACCTCCTCCGATATGGACAATAAAACATGCATAAGGTAAGTCGAAAGACAAGCGTAGAAAAGTAAAAAAATTAAACCAAGACATAAGCCAGAACGTTTAAAAGCAATCGGTAAGGCCAGGATTCCAGTCCCAATAGTGCCCTTCAGGAAATTAAATAAGGCCGCTAACGGGCTAAAAAATTATCACACACAGCCAACAAACCCGATATTTTTGCCTGACAATTCGGGATGATCATGTTCTTGGGATTCAAGTGGCCCGCGATCGTCTACCGCCTCAACGCCACTTTCACCATCACTCAGTGTACCATAGGTGGCCATTTCGATAAATGAAAAAGAAGGCCCTAGTACCTGCTATGGGTACAAATAAGTACATAGGCCTCATCCTAAGGCCGAATAGTGGGCAGACAAAACCGACCAATTGGATGAAAGGCTGTACTAGTTAGTCCATACTAACGACTTATCAGGTATTACTCCTAGTGCTATCATCCAAAAATCTTATTCTGCTGTTTTTAGAGTAAAGGCTAAGGGATCTACCCAACAGGATTAAAAAATCACCTTCACTGTATGTTTGTTCTTTGTTAGGTCTACGCGAGTTAAACTCATGAATTTAGCTATTTGTCAAATAGAAAATTTTAACAACTTCGTTATTGCTAATCTATGGAAAAACGCCAAAAAATAGGATGGTTGTTTTTTTTATTTTACACCATCTCTTCCGACCTATATGGTTTAGATATGATTAAACACCACTCATTATCAACCTTACTAGAGCATGAAAAAATGTTATTCATAAAGTTATCGATGCATTGGGACTGAGACCGGAAACTATTAGCTAATATCCATTGTGGTAAAAAAACATGCATCACGCAGTCGCAAGTTTGCAGTAACAATTGCATTCATTCATTAATGCGTGTGCTATTCCTTCGTTGCGAACTACTTTTTGGGCTAATCTCTATTTTGTTGCCTTGATTTTAAAACGGTCTTCTCCGTACACTTTTGTAGCCAATCAATGTGAGAAAGAGTGGTCGCCGCTTTCTAGTGTCATGTTTTAGCCTAAATGGGTACTCAACTACCGGGGACGGGTGAATTTGATATTGCTCAACAAAACGACGAGTTACAAGCCTTAGAGTCTATTTACCCCGACGCATTTTCTGTTATTGACCCTGACCGGCGGTATTAAAACTAATAAAGTGTTTTATATTCCATAGATTTTACAAAATCTCCGTATCTTCGGATTATGCCAGGAAGTATACTGTGGTATTGCGATTTACCTTTTTGGAGGGCTATCCCTCTAAAAGGGCTCCCCATATCGAGTAAGTGCGTGCTACTTATATTTAATAGATCAGAATTTCAGCGCCAGACTTGCAGAAAGATAAACGTTTAGAATTGTCTAACTTACTCAACGACTTATGTAAGGCATCCATAGGCTCGCCTGTAATTTACTCTATGGTGGAAACAACTCGGTCATTTCTTGAAGAACTCTCTACTGAGACTGCTTCTTTGGACACTGAAATTCACAAGACACCTGACGACGATGATTATCAATTCATATCCGTTGCAAAGCCTGTTTACACCGTGCCAAGTGTTCGCGAACACCTAGCTGCACGTGGCAGATATCTTCCCATTGCGCTAGGAGTTGCCCGTCCAAAAATATATCATGGAGAGACAACTGTCGACCGGAAAAGTGTGTTCCAGGCAAGTTCCACCGAATCCCCAGTTCTACTTTCATGCTAGTGTAAGCTGCTCTTGTGAATGTATCGTGTTATTGGTGTTGAGACTAATTGGCCGCAAAGAGGTGATAGAGGTTTAGAGTTTCCGGGCAACATCCACGGTCCTCGATGTTTGGTATCGGTCTCGCGAAGAATATTTATATGGATATGGAACTCATCTGTTTGCCCGTCTTTACCACATTCTTCCATCTTTTCAACTGTTCAAGCAATTTTATAGTAGCTTCGGCAAACCTTTCCGTAAATTCACGTGTGGCTTGCAAGGGGTGCGTTCATTTCCACCACAGTTAGATTCACTTCATCATGGTGCACTTCGATGTCAGCTGACGTCTTTCAGATGCTAAATCTGCCACCTAGT